AAAAAACAAAAAAAAAAAATTGCATCGACCCATATCACTGTAACTTTGTATATTTCACTGTACATAAATTATTATTTCAATAAAATGCATTTAAAAAAATTGAGTTTTAAGCCAAAAACAGAATTTTGAAAAACACGAACCAACCACCAGGAACTTCAGCTTCCCAATACCAAAAGACTTTCTGATGAGCTCAGAAAATGAATGTGAGAGTTCTGAATACTACATAATAAAATGTGTTGACGTCTGGAAGATCTGCATTCCTTTTTCCCAAATGCGCAACATGCGAGATTACAAAATCACACACGGCTAAAAGATCTACACCAAACCAACACGGAATCAATGCTCCGGTTTCACAGCCCACAGCAACGAACCTCTAAGAAGCCATCGCTGGTTGCATTGGATATAGTATCAAAGAATACGCACAATTATGGGACAAGGCTAGTAAAATAGTCTTCCCTTTTCCGACTGCGTATCTGTATGAGGCCACATTTTCTTCATCCACTTCAACCCAAACAAGGTAGTGTGACAGGATGAAGGCAGAAATCAACCGTCCTCTTTCACCCACACATTAAAGAGATTTGTAAAAATGTAGAGGAATGCCAGTGTCCTCACTAAACTTTTGTTTTGGAAAAGTTATTTTTCTATTAAAAAAAAAATGTTAACACACAATGGGCTTGTTTTTGACCTGCTGTTTTTAAGTAAATTAGTAAACACTCTTTCAGCTCCTCAATTTTAATTTCTAGTACCGTCAACACCGACAGAGCTAACCCCTATAATCTCTGCTCTCTGGGGCCCTCAGGAATTTTCAATCTGAGCAGGTGCTGAGACCGAAAGGCTGAGACCCTCTGGTCTAGGTGGAAGGAACCACACAGGCTGTGAGGGTGGCTTTTTCTGGGAATTTAAAGGAGGCAGGCTGGGCTAGAGCACCCTGAGCCTGGGGGAAGGGGGAAGTGGGCCAGAGGTGAGGCTGGGGAGGCCGTCAGGTTGAGGCCGGATGGCACCCATGGGTCTAAGGAAAAGCGGGATCATGGGCAAAAAGCTGGAGCAGCAAACGGGAAAAGCCACAGAGCAGTGCAGCCGGGACCTGCCAGGTGTGGGCAGCAGCTGCAGGGGCCTGGGCGGCAGAGGCCTGTGTTCCGAAGCGATGGTTGCCTCCACCTCCCCATGCCTCACGGGCCTGCGCTGAAGTGGACACTGGCGGGGGTGCAGGACAGAACCCAACGCTCAGGTGAGGAGATGCCCACGTGACCATATGCTTCCGCCGGCACAGGCCATCTCTGGAAGGCTGCTAGCTTCCCAGTAGCCACCGGATGTCAGTGCCAGCCTGGAGAGCAGGGAGGGGAGGCTGGGGGACCCCAAGGAGAAACCTGGCCTCCACGCAGGCCCCTGGAAACTCTCTCCCCGTGCCTAACTGCTTCAGAGCCCACCCAGCTACCGCAGCGCCAGCTGCCCCACCCCCACCCCTCTTGGCCTGCGTCCTCCGGGCAGCTGGCCACAAGTACAGAGAGGATGCTGCCCCACCTGCAGCTCTCTCCCCCCAAGGCACAACTCCACACCGGCTCTCAGTTCTGCCCAAGGCATCAGGGGCAGTGGCCGGCCCTTCTCTTCGGGGTCTCACTTCCCCACTCCCCAGCTGTGGGTCTTTCCTCTCCCTCCAAAATGACATTTACACGGGATCCCTGTTCCAGGGGTGCTCCTGGGGAAACTCGAACAAAGACCCCCCCCCAGAGCTACCCACCCAGCCAAGCCCTGGAGCCCGGGCATCGGGAGAGCCCCCCAGGAAGGCCCTCTCCCCCGTCTCCACACCCCTACAGCGCCTCCCGGGGCAGCCTGGCCACACCTCCACCGAGCTGCTGGGACTCAGCCTCCTGGGTTTCACCGCCTGTTTCGTTCTCACTGAGACTCAATGAGCAGGTTCTACACCGGAGCATGGGGTCGGGCCGTTTACCCGCATCTGCACTCACGGGATGTGTGAGGGCTGCTTTACAGACCAGGAAAGCGAGGGTCAGGGAAGGGGTGGCCTAGGTCACCCAGCTGGGATCTGTGTGACCCAGGACTTAGCCTCCTTCCTCCGTTCCCTCTTCTTCCATCTCAGGAAGGGGGACAAGCCCCGGCCTGGGAGTCTGACAGACAGGGTCAGTGTGCACAAAGGAATAGCGGGGGTGGGGTGGGGGGGAGCAGCCCAAAGGCTTGGGGCTGCGGATCTAGGAGGCCGGACTCCAAAGCAGGAAAGGGTCTCGGGCTTCCCTCCCGGCCCTGCCCTGTCCTG